AAAAGTCTGTAAAACAAGATATGAATTGTGGTTACTTCTAGGAGTGATGCTAACTTTACTCTTGATGCTTCCTTGTTTCATTTAATGTCTTTAATGAACATCTAATGTTATAAGTGGAGCAACTACCATAGACATTTTGTTCAACCTTAATTATGACACATTAGCAGAACATACGCACATTGAAATTATTTTGATGTTACACACACAGGAAGTCATGGAAAAGCTACAGATGTAAGATGACATTTCCAGAAAGTCTGCACAAAGCAGGCCACTCAAGGACCAGCAGAAACAAGAGCAGGTCCTCCCTAGAGGAATACCCAGTCCCTCTTTCCTTCAACCGAGGCTTCAAGGATTCTCTCAGCCAAAGCTCCGCAGTCAAATTCATGAAACTTTCAAAGAAACAGGGTCTATAAACTAGAGACAACAGTACAAAAATTAGTTCAGTGGGGATAAGATATGCAGTGTCTGAATTAGCAGACAATGGACATTGTATTAGTCTGTTTTCTGCTACCACAACAAGATGTTTCAGTTGGTTAATGTATCTGCTTGGCTCTGGTAAGGAACTTGCTGTGGATGGTATCACACAGGTGGCCCCGGTAGCTGTGTGATGTACAGTGATCACGTGGTGACAGGAAGGCGGAGAGCGGGGAGGGGCCAGTTCTGCTCTTTGTGTGACAGCTCCCACTCATGGGAGCTGATACCTTGGGATCAGCATTAATTTCTTCTAAAGACCTTGTCCTCAGTGACTTAATAATCTCCATCCGACTTTGTCTCTGAAAGGGTTCTGCACCTCTTAATGCTACTGTATTGGCAACCAAGCTGCTTACATATAAATATTTGGGGAGCAAGCCACATTAAAACCATGGCAAAATAAGTGGTTTTAATGTGTTAAATGCAATTAAAATGGATTGAACATATTTCTAAGGAAAAGATTAGGGGGGAAATCTGGCAGATTGGAATAAGAACCAATAAGAATTTTTAGAAATAAAAGATATAACAATTAAAATTAAAAAATCAATAGATATTGATTGTTTGACTGATTAAGACTTTGCTGAAAAGAAACAGGAAATAGGCCAGAAGAAATTTTCCAGATTTTAAACTACAGTGAAAAAAGTATGAAACATAGGAAAAAGACATTAAGGTGTAAAATGGAATGAGAAAAATCTAATAAACACTGCAGGAAGTTTTAGACTGGTTAGAATAGAGGCAACCATATAACTGCTGAGAATTTACAGAACATCAACCCAGAGGTTCATGAAGCTACTGAATCTTCATAAATACAAATAAAACACTAAGACAACATCACAATGAAAGTGAAGAACAAAGACTAAAGAGAAAAATCATGAAGTCAGTCACAGATAAAAAACATTCTGTAGAAAAAATTAGCAATTACAGTGACACCTGACTTTTTAGAAACAGCAATAGAAGGCAATAGACAATGGGGAATATGCCAAAGAAACTGGCAGCCAGGACTCCCACGGTCCCTGGAATCTCACCTGGGGCTAGGTGCAGCTCAGTGATACCTGTGCAAAGTCCAGGGTCCAACCCTCACATACCCTCTCTCCCAAAACCATCTCATAAAAAGCACAAAAGCAAAGGCACTTTGAAGTAAATAAAAACTAAAAGTAGTTTTCAATAATAGACTCTAACCAAAAATTCAAATTCAAATTCAAAATAATGCACAGCAGTTAAAAAGGAATATGATTCCCTAGTGGGAGGTCTGAGCTAGAAAAAAGAATGGTGATGCAAAAGTGGGCTAGATAGCATGGTAAAAACTAGGTAGACTATGAGGAAATCATAAAACATGTTTGTCTTTTTCTTTGAGACAGGGTCTCACTATGTAGTTGAGACTGACCTGGGACTCACCATGTAGCCCAGGCTGGTCTGTTGTCTCATTTCTTAGAACTACAATACAAACATGGCCAAATTGTGTGGTAAGTGGGGAAGGAAAGAAGTACAGTAGTCCCCTGTCTATTGTTCTACTTGCCATGGTTTCTGCCACCTGGGATTGGTATAGTCCAAATACATCAGTGGGAAATTCTAGAAATAAACAACTCATATGCTCCAAGTTGCCGTTCTGAGTAGGGTGATGAGACCTCACATCATCCCACTCAATCTGTCTGTAACAGAGTGATGCCTTCCTAAAGTGCTGCCTGCCTCCCGTGGCAACTGACAGAGAAAGAGAAAGAGGGAAAAGAGGGAAAGAGGAAGAGAGAGGGGAAAAGCACATTCGGGTAACTTGATTACAGTATGTTGTTACAATTGTTCTGTGATTATTAGTTGCTGTTGATTTTACTCTAATTTATGAGTTAAGCTTTCTGATACGTATGCACACGTAGGAAGAGGCATGGCATATGGAGTGTCTGCGGCATAATACCTGTCTCTTTGTGGACCTCCACACCCCCCAGCTCCTTCACAACCATCCCGAGGTCCCCGTTGGGTGGTTTGGAAATGGTTCGTCCCTATCAGAATCATGCTGAATTTGAATCCCAAAGTGGCAGGATTGGGAAGTAGGGCCTCGCATGGCAGCACTTTGCCCATAGAAGGAGTCCCGTCATTCTTAGGATGGGCTCAGCACAGGGAGCAAGCTGTTCACAAAGCTGCTGTGTCCCTTGCTCCTCTCTGTTCCTTAGTCATCACTTCTGTCCCTTCTGCTTTTCCCTCATCTGTGAAGCCCCAGGTAGCCAACCAGTGTCAGGGCCAGTTCTGTGCTTTCAGGCTGCCGGAACTGTGAGTCAAAATAAACTCTTCCCTTTATACATTCTCACCCTTCAATATTTTGTGACAGTAGACTGTGTGGTCACAAAAGAACAAAACTCAGAATCAACGATGTAACTCAGAAGCTGGTACGCTTTCTGAAAAGAGCCAGATGGCGAATATTGGAGGTGTTCCAGATCTCCTAGGTCTCTGTTGCAGTCGCTACTCTGGTGTAGCATGAAAACTGTAACCAGCAACATGACCAAATGACTGTGACTGTGTTGCAATAAAACTTTATTCACACAAACAAAAACCACAAAACTTTATTTACACAGATGGCCAGCAAGCTGGATTGGGTCGGTAGGCTATTTGTTAGGCTGAATTAGTCCAAAAAGAACAATAAAAGGAAAGGAAAGGCTTAGTCCCATCCAACAACTTCAAGTCTGGCTTTTAAATAGACTTGGAAAATCCCTTCTGCCCCGTGGTGACAAATGGTCCACTGGCTGCCTGTGAGGAGCTATTTTAGGCAACAGCCCTGAGGCTGGGCCAGCAGTTCACACCCCACCGTGTGGCATCCATAATGCTACAGTGCTACTGTTGCCAGGAGGTGTGATAGACTGGCCTCTCCCCTGTGTGCCATCGTTTGACAGGCGACCCTCGGCCCTCACAGGCCCATCCCCGCGAGGAGTCTGGGCAGAGCTGTGACGAGACCCCCGGGGGACGCCCGGCAGCACAAGGGCTGGCCTGTGCGGTTCATACGTGAGCACAGGGGAGGGCGGACAGGTGGCTCACCCCATGGCTCTGTAACTTGGAGGCACAGCGCGAGGTGAGTGGCAACTGAGTGACGTTGACCGCCAGCAGCCGGAGCAGCAGAGCTGCCAAGACAGCTCTTCAGACCCGCTCCTCTAGGAGCCCCGGAGCCCGGAGGGCAGGGAACCAGAGCAGGAGCTGGCGCAGGAAGCTCCTCCTTCAAGGCTGTCCCAGAGCGCAGCAGCCTTGGGCCTGACAAGGCGAAATCCTCGGGACACGGGCAACTAAGGAGCCGAGGAAACTGAAGAACCAAGCTTGATCTGCTACTCGTGGAGCGATAACCTGAGACCCCACCGGACACCTCCAATCTTGAAAATCCCCGGAAGGGAGGAGTGTGCTCGGATGCTGAGTGTGTGAGAGGGAGAGGATGAGGTGAGGCCTGAGGACGCACCACACTGAAAATCCTGCCGCGGGGGCTGAGATCCGCTTGCCCCACATTTACGTGTTTTGTCTTTTGCCTTACACACACTGCAAGCAGCATCTGCTGTTGCAGCAGCCCGACAGCCCACGTGGGACCCACCGTGTCATCCATCACGGTTGGCGTTTCAGTCCGCCATCCCTGTCTGAAGCTGGAGATGCCAGAGCTGCCACCTACGTGACCGCTGCCTCGCTCTGTTACTGTTTCACTGCACCCCTGATTTGCTGTGACTCTCAGGGGCGCTGGACGCATGATAGAAGGGCCAGCTGAGCGCAGGGCTACAATGAGCCGCCTTCGATTTTCGCAGCCGGATGTTGTGAGAGTTCCTTCAGCTGAAATCCATGTGAAAATGTTTATGTCTGCTCATTGGAAACAGCCGTTAAGGAATTGGTCCCACCTGTCTGAGGCCTGCTTGTGTCTGAAATCGCAGGCCTCTGGGGGTTCGTGGTGTGTCAGAGCTGAGGGCGTGAAGATACGTGATGTGGCGTGGGCTGTGCCGCATGGCAGGTCACATGCAGGGTTTGCAGGGGCACACGGCTCGAGCCTCAGCCTGAGTCTGCTTGGGACTCAGGACACAGACCGTGGTGGGAGCCCTGCTCCAGAGTGTCCCCAAAGAGGGACTTCTTTCTCCAGCAAATGCCAACAAAGGCACCACCCTTGCAGCCCAGAGCAGATGCCGAGATGCCCCCTGGGGCCCCCCGTGAGGGCGCTCTGTGCGTTCATTACCTTCAGACCTCAGACAGCGCAGGGTGGTGAGGGGATGAGGCTCCCTGCTGCATGGCGGAATTGCAGAGCCCTCGATGGAGGACTCCACTCAGGGGAGGATGGAACCGTTTGCCCCAAGGCAGCAGAGCCCCCACAGGAGAGGAGGGATGGAGCAGAGCAGGGTGTGGAGGCAGAGGCGCTCCCAGAACCCGCTGTGGACTCTGCCTGGAGCTCCCGGTCAAGCAGGTGGGGCAGGATGGCTCTGCTGCCCATCTGTACAGCCCTGGAAGGCAACTCCACCCTTCCCGCCCTCCCTCCTGTCCCTCCCCTCCAGCTTCACTGACTCATGACTCTCCCCAGGGCCCTTTCCTGTGCAGCACCCCTGCCCCAGGGCCTTTGCCCGACAGGTGGCCAGGGGCTCACTGTCTTCCCACTTCTCTGCGGACGAAAGGGGAACCAGTTAATGATGCCTGTCAACATGAAGCAGAGTGAACCGCCGTGGAGCGACTGAAGCAGATCACCTCCTGCTCTTCCTGCCACTTGCAGAGGCATGCCCGTGGGTGCCCTGCCCGGACTAGACGCCACCAGCTCTGTGCCAAGCGCACACACGGGGGGAAACCGGACGGAACCGCGGGCAGCTGTGCAGCTCTTTGCCTCCTTCTGTTCCCCTGAGCTCCGCGGTCGAACTCCTCCTGTGCTCTGCTTAGGAAGAAAGGCACGAGGACCTGTGCCGGAGTCCCAGTCCCCTTGGTGGCCAGGGGAGCGCGTGAGAGTCAGCATGGTCCAGAGGGGAGGAGCCAGACCCGGAGTCAAGGCCTGGCTCCGTCAGTGACCAAAGGGACGAGGGCTTCAGCTGCTGTGTCTCGGGCCCAAACTTGTAAGACAGGATGATACAGCAACCACGGAATAGAGACCTGGCGAGATCGGAACGCCTGACTCACGGTGAGTGCCCTTTCTACTGCCTTAACCATGATGATTGTTTATCTCACACAGCTCCAGCTAAGAAACACGTAGCTAAACTGTAACAAGGAGATAATGTCCCCTCCTCTGAAACAGTGAAGGAGATGCTACTGCCAGGGTGGCCATGCTGTCCCAGGGCTAATCATTTATTTATTTAACTCAGGAATGCAAGTTCAATTATGCATGCACTGTTAACATTGATGGTAACCTAAGTAAGTCACGAGTGCTTTGTGTGTTTGTTCTTTGGTTCTCCTGGACAGGATTTCTACACGGACCGTTGACTCTGTTTTGCACTGAAAGGCATCCATTCCTTAACATAGCATTTGAGGGAGAAAACGAGTTTCAACTAAGGCACAATTTACAAATTAGTGCTTTCTAATGGCGAGCTACAAATGCACTAAGTACTGTGCATTGAGTACTGTGTGGGCTGGAGAGGGTGCTTTGTGCTGGGTACCCTGAGGGAAAAGGGCCGGCACGTGCCTATTGTCATGGGTGGCAAAAGACTCTGCACAGTAGCGGTCGCGTGTGTGTCACACTTAACATGTACACACACGCCACACACACGGTGCCGCCTCCGGGCCCACCGCCAGTTGGTTCTGGGAGCCCCATGAGCACCAAAGATGCCCGTTACCCACAGTGTTTCGGCCGGGATGGGTGGCAGGAAGGAGCGGCACGTTCCAGCTCCCATGTCGAATACCAGCTCCGGGACACTTTTGATTCCGAACGCAAAGAGTCCATGGAACAGAGTCCACAGAGAGAGGTACAGAGCTGGATTCCATCTTCCACTTGCTATCTGTCCTCCAACGTATGTTTGTGGCCCCTCTGTCAAAGATCAGATAGCAGAGTGTATCTGGGGTTGTTTCCGTGTCCTCTGTTCTGTTCCGCTGATCCTCGTGTCTGCTTCTGTGCCAGTACCGTGCTGACTTTTTTCTTTCGGTACTGGGCAATCGAACTTGGGTCCTTGCGCTTGTGAGGCAGACAGCGGAACCACTGAGCTAAATCTCTAGCCCACCGTGCTGACTTTATCACTGTAGCTTTGTATTGGAACTTGAAATCTGGGATTGTGAGCAACCCTGCTTTGTTGCCTGGGATTGCTTTTACTACTCCAGGTCTCTGAATCGTCTGTAAGAACGTGGATGCACCTGGAAACCATAATGTTAAGTGAAATAAAGCAGACACACAAGCTTAACTATCACATGGTTTCTCTTATATTGTATACAACAACAGAGGTGGGGGTAGTGGGGCGTGCCTGTAATCTCAGCACTTGGGAGGCTGAGGCAGGAGGATTGCTGAGTTTCTTTCTGAGTTTCCTTTCTTTAAAAAAGTAGCAAAACAAAACCAAACAAACACAAAACCAAAGTATATATACATTAAAGAGAAAAATAAAAGATAATAGAAAGCAGGAAGATAGGTCTTTTGCAAACAGGAAGAAGACCAAAAGATATGGGGGAGGGAGATGGGATTTGAAAAGAATTAAGATGTTATGTACATGTACTGACTCCCCCTGTGAATATAACCATTATTTACTGTAAATGTATACTAAAAAAAGGGGAGAGTACCAAATTCAGTGTTCCAAAGCAATCATGTACCAAGTTATGGTTGTATGTACATAAAACTTAATTACATTTAATATACGGACAGATATAAATACATGCATACATGTCATTAATTCCATTTAATTATACGTATAAGTATATACATGTAATTCAGTTACACTTGATTAAACACGCGTGTGATTTGCTTTGAATTATACACCTAGCTGTGTGTGATCTAATGTAGTCACACACATGCCTAGAGACCCATATCTGCAGGTGATCCCCGTCCTGGTGAGCACTGGGGAGGGTGAGCACTGGGGAGGAACAGTAGGGGGCGCAGGTCATACTGAGGATGCCGGAAGTCCTCGCAGGTGCACATGAACCAGTTTTAAGGCGGGATGTGGCGTGGTCTGACTCACACTTGCGAATCCCTTGGTCCACACTGAAATGGGGAGGAGGCAGCTGGGTGGAGGACCAGGGTGTCCCACAGAAGGGCTTGAGGGTGCACTGGGGCAGTGGGCAGGTCGGGGGCTGGAGCAGGAAGACGTGATTGGCTTGAGGGAGGACGCGCCTTGGCTGAGATAGAAGACATGAGACAGAGGCACATTTAGAGGAGAAAGATGAAGAAACCAGCAGACCAGACTGTGCACCCCAGAGTCCTGTGTTGCTGTGAGTTCGATGTTTACAATACACATGCAGGAAAAAAGTTCAGATTGGACAGATCTTCAGGGTTATTGCAGTTTGTCTCTAGAGTCTGAAATCAATGGATGGATGTTAGTCTGGTCATATTAGGAAGAGAAAAATCATAAATGCCTGGCTATACTTAAGCTATGGAGTGGAATACAGTGAACCATTTCATTACCTTTGCTATCAAATGAATGGGCGGTTCTATGCATCATGTAATATCGTAATTACATCCTATGAAAATTCAAGTTTTAAAGGCTGAAGTGATGTGATAACATAGTAAAGTCCCAATTTAAAATAATGACCATCTTCTAAGTTTAAAATATCACAAGAACTGTGCTTTCACAGCCGATAAACACTCTGGACGTTGAATTATCTTTATGTTTCCTATGGCTGTGCCGCTTTAATTAGTAAACAGAAATGCTCATCATCCTTTTCTAGAACTAAGAAGAACTATGACAGATTTTGCAGTCTGTGAGATAGATATTTGCTTACAGTGACACTGGCTGTGCAACAGGGTTATAGCATTTTAGCTAAAAAATCATCTCACCACTTCCCACAGTTCTACATGCTGGGTTGAATTTGTGAATGTTTCACATAGACCCATGAATATATTATTGTACGAGTTCTTTTTTCTCTTCTCCTTTGTCTCTCATTTTCCCAAAGTCTAATCTTAAAAGTAAATTGTTACCAAGTTTGTAGAGTTTTTAAAATGCAGAGATATGTGAGCAAAACACCAACAATCAAAGCAGAAATTATTCTTTATGTTTCTGTCCCCCAAGGAGATGGAAAAAAACACTCATCATCCGGCACCGATGGGGAGATGACTCCCAGGGAGGAGACAGAGTCCTGTGGCTCTCTCTGCCTCTCTGCTGCCTCAAGCAGGAGGGCAGAGGACCTCGTATTAGCAAGGCATAAACAATCAGAATATTTGAACAAGGTGTGAAGAGAGTGAAAGCATACATGCCCACAGAATTTCTTCTGTGATTTTGAAAGTGCTCATCATTCTGTGTTATTTTCCTTCAGATATCCTTGTAAAGACAAAACAGCAACAGAAAGAAACAAAGACTCTTGTCCTGCCTTGGGAGGGGAAGGAACCCTCTTGGGGGAGGAGGGGATCCCTGCCAGCCGGGGACGGCTCCCTTCCCTTCCTCCCTCACTCCCTGAGACCCTCTTGAGGTTTTCCTGTCTGTGCAGGGAATGCGGAGCCAGGTCAAGGTAAAAGATGATACCAGTGAGAGTTTCAAATGAAGGCACTTTGGGCTTGTGCATAAACCAGAGACATGAGTCCCTCAGAGGAGGGACATAGTAGAACCCACTGAGAGCAGGACCCTGTGAATATGGAATATGGCTCAAGTAGAAGAGTGTGGGGCCAGCTCCTAAACAGTGCTTATCCAGCTTCCCACTCTAAACTGTGTTTGTGAGAAGGATGGATAGAAGGAAGATTTTCCTACGAGGATCCTGAGAGGAAATGGGATGTGATCGTTGGTTTTGCTATCCTTTCCTGTAATTTAAGCACGAATGTTTGAAAACTTAGTACATGAAACCACTTAAAAATGGAGACGGGAGGGCAGGGAGATGCACGGTCTGTGGCATGAGAGAATGCTTTCTTCCCATCAACCATTGTTCTCAAGGACTTTCACACATACAGATGTGGGATCTGGATATAGTAGTATCTCATTTGGCCTCATCTGGAAAAAATAAGCACTATGGGAAGTTTTCAAATGACTCAGCTTAACTCTTTGAGTGTCATAGAAAGAGAAAAAAAAATCACCATTTTTTTTCTTCAAAACCTTCACAATGAGCACAGTTAATTTTTACTTTTTCCTATGCATTTCACTAGTAGATTTTTCGAAATCTCACCCGATCCAGAGTTCTCCCCTGGACCGTCCAAATAGGCCCATTTGAGAGCCTATATGTCAGCACACTGAGAACAAATCCCTGACCTTCTCTCCGAAGCGCTTTCCCCTCTCTCAGTGGTGACTTTCCCCCGGGTGCTGGCGTCCAGCCCTGCCTGGGCCAGTGCGCCTGTGGTTCCTGCCACTACCTTCCCGCACCTCTTCCCGGGTTCGGCGCCAGCCCTGCTGCCTGGAGTACTGCAGCGGGTTCTTCTCTCCTCCCTCTGCTGTCAGCTTGCCCCCAAAGCCTCTTCTCAACACAGCAGTGCAGGTAACTCCTCCAGGAAGCAGCTTAGAATCTGGAGTCGTCCTCTCTGCTTCCAACCTCCCAAGGTTTCCTCCTCATTTGGAGGAAAAGCCAAAGCCCTTGGTGGCGCAAAGCCTTGCAGGCACCTTTCCCAGCGTCAGTGTGACCTCAGGACTGATCCCTACACTCTCTCTGCTATGCTGGCTTCGTTTCTGTTCCACAGACACCAGGTACGTGGCTACCCTTCTGCTTGATTTCTCTTCTGCCTGCGATATTTCTTCCTGAAATGTCTACCTGGCTGAACCCTCACCGCCTACAGATCTCTCTCCAAACATGGATTTCTCAGCTGCTTTCCAGAATGTCCTAGAACAAACACCTCTATTCTTCCCCCCTGCTTTCTTTTTTCTCCATTTCTGACATACAGTAAAATTGTTCCTTCCGGGACGCCCAGTGGATGGCCCAAACTGTGGACAGTAATGAATCCTGCATGTACTATTTTTTCCTATGCAGACTGATCTATTATAAAGCTTATTTATCAATTAGACCAAAACAGCTATAACAACCTACCATAATAAACGGTGCCGTTCTGTGCTGGTGCGCACATGTATTCGCACTCTCTGCCTCCGGGGGCAGTCGTCACAGGATGTCTTGTGCTTAGTGCCGCCTCATCCTCTGTCCTGGACGTAGAGCACTTGGGCAGCGGTATGTCCGTCCCAGTGTCCCCAGGCAGGGCTCCACATGGCCTCGGGCACATAGATGCTCATCAAGTGCTGAGCAGTGCACGGGCTCAGTGTAGTCTGAGCTCCCCCACCGCCCTGTAATCTCTTCACCGGTACCTGCATGGGGACCGGGTGGTGGGCGCACGGTGTCAGGAGACCCCGCAGGGCTGGTCTGGCCCTGAGTCCTGAGGAGCTCAGGTCCCTGGAGAGCACAGAGCCCTGCTCCCAAGGTCAAGGCCAGCGCTCCTGCTCTGTGGGTAATGTATGTTACTGTCGCTCAGGAGTCCCAGGAAATACTCTGAGCCCACTCCAGTGGGCCTTTTATTTTCTGTTCTGTGCAAAAATAAAAAGCAAGTCGAAAAGCAGTAGGAAGCCAGCTCAGTCCTTTCAAGCCAATTCCTTGGACACTACTAAGAAAATCCGCAAAGCAAGCTTCGTGCTAATCGCTGTCTGTCACACTGGCTCTTCCCAACTCATTGCGAGCCTCCCCCGACTTCCCCTTGTCATTACTGTGCTATTCTCTTTTTCCTTCTAATTAGTAATGCTTTGGCTTCAACATGTAACTTGACAAGTAACTTAAAAAGAGCACTTGTAGAATGTGTTTTTCTGTAATGTCAGGATTGTTCCCATTATTGCTTATAATCGCTTTCATGTCTCTCTGAATCTTATTTTCTTTTCTTACACTAGATGAAAGCATTGAGTTTTGGTGTTCCTGGATTCCTCATAATTAAAAAGTTATACCAAAGGTGCTGTAGTTTATTTGCACATAAATCTAGGCTGGCGAGGATGTGTTTCTCAGGCGTATATTGTAGAGTGCAGAAAAGAATTCCTGGAATAAGAAGTTAGAGTGCACTGGGACATTAGTGTAGTAGATACTGATGGCATAGTACAGTACTTAGCATCTCCATATTGGCTTAATCTACCAGCTTGGATTTTTGCTCTTTTGTTTGTTTCCTGTTAAGGTCATTTTTCAAATTTGTGGGGTTTTTTAGCTGTTGTAACAGGATACCAGTAACTCCATCCAGTCTGGGGACTCCCCCAAGCCTGTGCCCAGGACAGAAGAAACCACACAAGGCAGCCTGTGGCCTCACTAGACCCCAGAATCTCAGACTGCTGACCCCTGAATGGGTTTCCGATGGATGCCTGAGCCCATGGTCATTCTGTTCTCCTCTGTTTTGGAGCCTGGAGATCAAAATGCGAATTCAGCAGGTTCTTTGGGGCATGTGGGACAGACTTCCAAAATGCAGTCATCCATGCCAGAAGAGCATTTCTTTTAGTGTGTATTCCTACAAATATGGCAGCACGCCCTCCTTATTCCTTGCTGGCACTTGCATGCCTTCTTTGTGAGATCCACGCCATCTTCGTCTGCTACAGGAAGGCAGTCTGTTACCCACAGCCCAGGAATGGAGTATAGGCTCCTATTAATGAGACATCAAGCCAATGAGCTAAGTAATGACTGCATTTTTCTTTCTAATATGCAGCAGTGTGGTGCACGTAGCAGTATTTTTCCTTGAACAGATGTGTCTCTTCACAGTCTTCTTTTCTTAGGAACATAGGACTTTTTGTTTTGTTTGCCTGTGTGCTTATAAGTTGCAACTGCTCTGAAAGGAATTTCTGAACTCATTGCGACAGCCCTGCGTGCAGGGGGCACTGAGTGACATGAAAACCACAATCCCATCGCTGAGCTCCCACTCAAGCACCCAATTAGCTCATATTCTTTGACTAAATACACTCTAGGGCCATATAGCTATGCTCTGAGCTTTGATTTCAGGAGCTCTAGGATATCTGGAAATTACTTGGATGTGATAGTAACCAACAGACAAAAGATAAGCAAGCAGCCTTTCCCGGACAGTCAGCAGACTGGAGAATCTGACAGCAAAGACACTGAAAGTTATTATCAAATTCCCTGTACGCTACGGTTTTGAATAACTAAGCGAGTTAACCAGTGTGTTGCTCAGCACTTCCCTTTATCGATAAAAAGTAGCATTCACTTTTCACAAAGAATCAATATCTGAAGCACACCAGGCAAGGACTGTGCTTTCATGACTTCCTCGGTGCAGTGTGGAGCGCTCACAAAGCAAACCTTGCTGTGCTACTTCTGAGAAACACCCATGGAGGCAGGCAACCGGACTGACTATTGTTTTCTTATAAAAAGCATAAAAAGTCTTGGGTCACCTTCAAAATATGGTTGCCTTTGTTCCCTGGAGTGGAGTTCCTGAGGGATTGAGGGGCAGAGAGGCGGGGAGGGAAGGCAAGACGATCACTCAGCAGGGAGGGCGTGGGGCTACTCTTCTCGCCCAAGAATGCCTGTCGCAAGGTCGTGGAGACCAGGGAGCCCGGCAGCAGTAGACTCCAGCAGGCATGGCTCTGGCACATGCGGTGTCTCTCCGACAGCTGTGTGTGCTTCTGCCGAAGCCTCCCTGAGTGTCCTGCCCAGTTCCACACAGGAAATCTCACACACGAGTTCCCACTGAGTCGACAGGTGCAGTGAGAACCCCTCTGAGAGCTCTGCATAGCCTTGGCTCCCTAGGCTGAGACGCCGAGGCTTGGGAGTGTGCCTCGGGTCTGGAGGGGACGTGGAGTTCTCCATTTGCTGCTGGACTGGGCGTTTGAAGAGATCGCTGTAGCAGCCTTCGTGTGGTACTGGTGAGGTCCGTTGGCAGCGCCTGAGCAGAGGAGCTTGTGCAGGAATGTGCAAATGGAACTGTGGAATCTGTCGATCCCAGGAGGAATTGGCCTCCTTTTAGGGTAGGAAAATGGACTTTGGGGTCCTTTGGGAAAAATCACACCTACGAATAAGCTATTTGGACCCCCTTGGGGCAGCCTTGAAAAAGAATAAGAAAGCAGCTACAGGCTACAATTGCCTAAACTCAGAAACTGCGAAGGGGCTGCGCATGAACCCAGCCTTTCAAAAGTGGGGCAGGGTGTGGAGACCAGGGTCAGGGGCTGCAGGAAGTGATGGGTGTGTCTGAATCGCCTAACTGCGATCTTACCCGCTGTTCTTTCCTCATCGAGGCCCAGCTACCCCACGCCGCGTGCTGCCCTTGCTTTGATCTCTGATTGGCAGGGTTCATCATTCGCTGCACCTGGCAGAAGCCCATGTGGTTCTGGTTCCTCCACCAAACCCCGAGCAGCTTGGTAGAAAGAACAGGATGTTCATTACTCCTCCCGAGTTCCCAGCTCAGGGTCCAGCGCCTCCTTCCTGTGCCTTTGCATTCTGGGGCTCCGGGCTGCGGTGACGGCAGGAAAATCCAGTGACACGGGAGCTGGAACACTGTCACCGCTTGGCCAAGGTCACTGTCTGACTGGCAGCTGTGCACTCTTAAAATCAAAAGCAAAACAGAACTAAGAAGAACAAGACACTTCTGTGTAAAGAGCTTTCAAATGTCACTACACTCATTTTTTTAAAGGCCCAGACGTGAAAGCCAAGGAAGACTCCCCTTTTCTAGGCCTCACTTCCTGCAGGGAGCCTGTCTGTGCCTTGCCCCCTGTTTCTGCTCAATGATCAGCTTACCTGGGCAATCCAGGAAGCAAATTTAGAATGGGGAGATTTGGCCATGGGCCGGCATTTCCAGCAAGGATGGGCTGAGATGATTCCTTGGGGGAGACAGCTGGAAAAAAAGGTAGAAACTGCACACTGAGGTCAGTTTGTCTTTATTGTCTGGAAACCATCACCCCACTCCTGGTACCACCAGACTTACACACGAGCAGCCTGATGATTACCCTGTGGGCATTTTGAAAGGAAGAACACCTATGGCTGTTCCCCCAGACTCCAAGGGAAGACTGCATGTTTTGGTCCTTGGCAACCTGGAGCCCAGCCCCAGCCCACCCTCTGGTCCCAAGGATCCTCCGTAGTGGCAGGCAGATGACCTTGTCTTGCAGTTACCACCTGGCTGTAGGTTGCCTCCCATTCAAGGGTACAAAACACCTGAAAATGGGTGGTTCCTATGCCTCACACCCTCCTGACTATACCGTACACTTAGTGAATATCTGATTTTCGAATAGCATTGAATTCAGACCTCTTATCTTACCACCGCTCCTCAGAAGAATTAGAGCAATGAATTATCTGGCAAAACCCAAAAGCCTGCTTCAGTTTCTGTTTAGAATGAGGTGAACATGCCATCCTGGAGGTCGCGGAGAACACACAAGTTAAAAGCAGACACCTCCCACAGACAGATGCTCAACAAGGATTTAGCCAAACCAAACCCTGACTAATGCTAGAGGGAGAGCATGGCTTAGACTGGAGAGAACCCAGCACCCAGGGTCCCGGGAGCCAGTCCCTGTCCAGACCTTCAGTGCCTGTGTCAGTTGTGCTTTTTGTCCTTCAGGTAGCTGAAGAGCATCTCCAGGCCTCCCTCCACCAGCTCCGGCAGGGGCTTGGATAACGGGTTGTGGGAGATGTGGAGCCCTTTGTCCATGGGATTCCAGGCGATCCTCCCCAGTCTGCACAGCAGGTAGAGCTCGTCCGGAAGGGCCTGGATGTCGTTGTTGTTCAGATTCAGCAGCTCCAGGCTCGCGATGAGGCACAGCGACCTGGGGAAGGAGTGGATGTTGTTGTTCTCTGCGATGAAGATCTGCAGGCAGGACAGGCACTGGATGCTCTCGGCGATGTTTTCCAGGCGATTGGAGCCCACGTGCAGGAAGTCCAGCTCCTTCAAGGAGAACACGCAGATGGGAATGTGGGTGAAGTGGTTGTTGCTGAGGTTTAGCTTCCTGAGCCTGGTGAGGTCGGCCAGGCTGGCAGGAAGCTGAGACAGGCGGTTGTGTGACAGACTCAGCACTTCCAGGCTTCTGCAGAGACTGAGCTCAGCGGGCACCTCCGCCAGGCAGTTCATGTTGGCGAACAGGACCTTCAGGTTCTGCAGGCGGCTGAGTTCCCGGGGCAGACTCTGGAGCCGGTTCCCACACAGGTTCAGAACCACGATCCGAGTCAGCCTCCCCACATCGGGCGGGAGAACCCGCAGCTGGTTGTGGGACAGGTTGAGTTTCTGGACCTCGGACAAACCCCACAGAAAGTCAGGGACATCCGTCATTCCTTTGGTGACCAGGCTGAAGCTGACGTGGCGCATGCCTCGCCTCAGCAGGGACCGCGGGTCCTTGCCCGAGAGCAGGGTGTCATCCCAGGAGGAAAACTTCTGCCTCCTCCTCGACAGCAGCATCCTCGTGGGGTCCTTGTCCTTGGCGGCGGCCCTGGACTTCCCGGCCCCCATGGAGTCTCTCTATCCTCTCTTCTCTGTCTCCTTCAAGCTCGGGAGCCTGTCCTGCTTGGGCAGCTAAATCCAGGCTGTTGCAGGGGGGGCAGCGCAGTGCAGAGCACGCAGAAGGCTAGCGGCGGGGCCTCCAGGCCTTGAGGTGTCCCCAAGGGGTCCCCACACAGCCCGGGGGAAGCGCCGTGCTCGCCCCGACTATAGGCTCTGCGGCTTCTCTGGGCAGCTGAGCTGTAATGATAAACAGGCTGCTGAGGCCCCAGACAGAGCTAACTGCTCGATTCCCTCTGAATGCCACAAGGCAGCTGTCACTGTCATTCTGCCCGAGTTTTATTGACCTGGTATGTGCACACAGGTCACAGGGTGGCTGCATATAACTTTACCCGCTCAGCTTTTCTTGGGTGTCACAGCTGAGCAGGGCGATTAGCAGGCTGGTCTTGAAAAAGCAGCACAGTGGAGAAACACAGCGTACTGCGGCATCTCATCCTGGACACGTGGGAGGGGGCCCGCTAGGAGCTGGCCAGGGCCCGCTGTCCGCAGCTGCAGATCTTCAGGCGGTCATCCCCGTGGCTGCACCAGTCACCTGGAACCTCTGGGAAGTAGATTGTACAGGCACCTGTCAGAGGTGACTTAGTGACCAGGGAGCAGAAGGAGTCAGGACCCTACGTCCCGGTGCCAACTAGAGGAGCTCTGGTTCGGCTGATTCGCAATGGGCTCCTACATTTCCAGGGTGGCTTTAAATGCTTGAACAGCCACAGGGCCGGCACCTTAGTAAGGTCAGCATGGGACACCCGTGATCTCAGGAGGGCACTCTAACTACTTCCCTCAGTCACACCCACTCCTTTTTCTCTTTCCTGGAAAATCTACTTCCACCCTAAGAATGCAGTAGATGTTATGGGAGGAACTGCACCCCCTAATTTCGCATGTTGAAATCCTAACAGCCAAGGCCTCCAAAGGTTGCAGGATTTGGAGGCAAGGCCAGGTGAAGATGCAGGCGAAGCCGGCCTCCTGTGAGAAGAGGAGAGAAGCCGCAGAAGACACCCATGCCTGCTGCGGACATCTGCTGTGCGAAACTGAGAAAAGTCCATTTCTGTTGCTGAGCCACTGGTCTGGAGCTTTGTTATGGCAACCTTGGCCCCAGGCTCGCGCACAGGGTAAAAATTCCTAAAAATAGCTGGTGACTAAAGGGATGGCATGGTGATGACCAGGTCTCTGAGAAAAGGGCGAGGGTGGACTTGGCCCTGGAGCTGCTCTGGGACTGTGACAATGCCCCGGACCTCCAGATGGGCCCTGTAGGGCAGGAGGAGCGGCCAGGGCTCTGAGACAGCTGGGCGCCCCTTCTGTCCCCTGCCACTGGAAAGATCTGGTCAGCCCCAGGGTCCTCCCAGAGGTGGAGACCTTGGAAGTTCTTCTCGTGGGACACTGGTGTGTTTTAGTTTCAATTGGAGAAAAAAATGGAGCTAAATTTCTAAGCTGTTTTCCGTGCCTTACCTGCCTGGATCTCACAGGACAGTACAGACTCTGCAGGAAGTGAGCCCCTCCTGGTACCTCCTCCCGAGTCTGAGATGCTATGGCTGCCGGAGTCGGAGGGTCATGGAGCCGGGAGCTGACAGCTTTCTTCTTGGTAACACTTATCTCTCTTTCCTCTTAATAATTTTTCCAATAAACATTTTAGAGCACTCGGTGCTAGCCAATATTTACTGAATGTTTACTACGTGACAGTTTTTATACTAAGGACTTCTTGTGTAGGATGGGAAGGACAATCATCTCCATTTCACAGGTGCAAAAGCGAAGAGAGAGACCCGGCCACTTACACAGAATTAACTTCCTTGTCCAGGGTCAAGTGGACCGTCAGTGGGAGAACCAGGATTCAAACCCGGTTAGTCTAATTCCACAGGCCAGGATGGAAACCCTAAACCCTTAACCATAAAATAACTATGCCAAGGCTCTTTGTTTCCAAGTGCTACCTGCTAAGGCTGGAGGGAATGCAGATAGAGAAATGACTGTATAACTCTGTATGCACGTGAATAACAACATAATTAGTCATTAACCTGGCTCAGTCTGCTGCCCAGACAATCAGAAGAGCAAGAGTTGTAAGATCATCCCAGAAAAATTTAGAAGACTCAATCCCTTCCAAAAATAGTTCCAGTCTTCTCTAGTGAGATGAGCTGAGTGGAGGGCCTGGTTTCTTCTAATTGTTTAAAATGCACGTAGCGCCCACTCCGTGCGCCACGCAATGGCCAGGAAGGAGCTCACCCAGCAGATGTTTGTCATCTGGGAACTCAGTTTCCTTGTCTGGGAAAGGGGCTGTCTGGAGTGCTCAGGACTATCCAGTTGGCTTTGGGGCCGGGAGAGCCTTGTTGACCTTTGTTTGCCTGGAGAGAGCAGGAAACACCAGGACAGCTTTTGGGTTGGTGACCCTGACACTGGTTTCTGGGAATAAACAGCACTGGGCACATTGCTGCCTTCTGGACTCTCCGTGTCGCCCACACATTTGGCCTTTGCCGAAGCAGACTTTTCACATCTTCCTGAACAGATTCCGGTTTGGAATAAGCCTCAGGATGAAGCAGTGTTGGGAGTGTTCTTAAAATTCCAGGGCACGGTGAGGAGTGTGATTATCTTTCAGCCCAGGGAAGTCACGGGATGACTGAAGTGTGTTGGATGTGCCCAGTGTGCCCACCGTGTTCATTTCTGTATATTGCAATCCATGGTTGTTCCCACACAGGAAAACCAATGCCCACTTTCACTTTAATCCTAAGTAAAAGAAATCTGAGCCGCTGAGAGTGTAGAACAGCAGCTTCCAAAAACCTCTGAAGCTACCCCCGAATTCACCATAATGGAATGCCTATTAAAAATAATTCTTTTTATTCTCATTATGACTTTTCAGCTTATGCCTACGCAGTGTCTGTGGCATTTACAGGAAAGAAAGAGGCATGTCTAAACAGTCTATTAAAATAGTCTTACCGATTTAAACTTTTAAAGACAGAAAATGTAGACAAATAGAAAGAGGAAGAATTAACATTTTGCATACGTCAATCTGGGTCTTTTTCCTATGCATATCTGTTTCAACCTATTTTCTTTCACCAGAAGAAAGAAGAATTTTAAAATCTGTCCTGGCTCAGTTTTGTGTTTGCATACAGTTTGTCCCTCAGGGTCCAGGGGGCCTGGCTGTCCTGAGGTCACTCTGTGCTGAGGACTCTGTCTTGGAGACAAGACTGAAGTCCTTCTCTCTGGACCCCTTGTGGTTCTTAGGCAGCCAAAGCCCAGTGTGGCTCAACTTCCTACTTCCTGCCCCCCACCCTGGGGGGCAGTTCTTTCTGCTGTACACAGTGCCACCACTGTCATCTGTGCAATGTGACGCAGCCACAGAGCTCTCACCGGAACTGAGTGAGGTTGCAGAGACAGCACCCTTCAGCCTCCAGGTCCACAGGCTAAGGGAGCCTCTTTCCTTCTGAAGCCGTCAGTCTCAGGCATTTCCTTATGGTACTGGAAAGCCAACTGCTGCATCCCCAGCCTCCAAATCAGAGCTGAAGGCCACAGCTCCCTGGCCAGTGTCGACTGTGGAGCCCGTCCCCAGGTGAGCAAGGGTTAGGGGACCCCGGAAGCAGGACAAGGAGGGACAGCAAACAAGCCACACTCTCTGAGCAGCCACTTCCTCCCTCCAAGCTCAGGCTGTGGCCAGCTTTTGGGGACAACCTGTGGTGAAGCATAGGTAAAGTACACGCAGCGTTAAAACCAAAAGTACGCTGCAAACTGCCTGCCTTGAGGTTGTTAAAGATCTGTGACCACAGTCCGGCAGTGGTGATGGATGGGATCTCGGGAAATGAGAGCTGTTCCAGAAATAGCAGCTTCAGCACACGTTGCCCCGGCCCCTCCCTGCCCACCCCCAGTTGCTCGAGGAATATTGTCATGCGTTCGGTTCCCATTTTATCCTTGCTCCGTGATCTTGACAGTTTCTTCAAGGCCAGTCAAGCCGGTGGTTTGGCAGCGTCCCTCCTGTGCCTCCCCCTGTATTAAATCGGTGCTGGTGGCAATGGGAGAAACTTTTGTGTGCTGCGCCTGACTCTGCTGAGACTCCTAGGGCTGCTACTGTTAACCTCATGTTCATATGGGAGGCTTGGCTTCCGTGGGGTTGAGCGGCGCTCTGAATCGCACAACCAGTTAGTATCAGAGCAGGACAGACACCAGGTCTTTGGAGTTCACTCTTGTTCTCTCTACCGCATGGATGCTGTGTTCTGCAGGGTTTTGTTTTTAATTCATTTTAGCCAAGTGGCTGGTGGTTTTTCTGATGACCACAAGCCACAGCCTTCCGGCCCGAGGGACAGCCTGGCCTGGCAGTTACCGTCCCAGCCCTGGTTGCCTGACAGCCTTGGGTGTTACTCCTGACTCCCTGCCACGCACCGTGACCTTAGGCAAGCTGCTGATCTTGTCTGTGCTCCACTTCCTCATCGGTGAAACCCAGATAGTCACAGCTTGTTCGTTGAGGCTACTGAGGGAATTAAATGACAAACGCCAGGTACAGGGACATCTGAGGGAAGAGGTGGATCCCAAGGCCTTCCAGTGCTTACAGCCTCTCCAGCGTGGACCAACTGGTCCCTTTCCATGCCTGCAGGGTCCCCCTTAACCACACTGCACCCCAGTCGCTCCTCCAGGGTGCAGATGATTGGGCTGGCCCACTACCAAGAATCATCCTGCAGAGTCTCAGCAGCGTGTGGAAGTGGAGAGCCTGGTGTCCAGCGTCCCCGCCCTCTCATCCTCCTCCTCCACTGGACTGAAACATTTTTAGGGAGTGGCTCCATCACACATGGCACTGTTGGCGCCCCAGAGCCAGGGTGCAGCCCCAGGCACAGCTTCCCCACTCCGTGCTCTCCCCCGGGCTCTGCCCACTCGGTGTGGAGAGGCCTCCTCCCTTCCACCCACCAGGACCTGAGCAGGGACACACAAACCTTGCTCTGTTTGTCAACTGCTGACTTCTGTTTGTCCAGAGGAACAGTGGCGGGTGG